TACCTCTAGTGTTTTCTTTTTCCACTCATACTTCAAGTAACATTGAGGATGATGCTTATTTTAAAGTGTGGAAATGATGCAAGTTCGTGCTCAAATATCTTCTGTTACTTAGTTGATCTAGTAGTGCTTGATGACATTTGTGCTTGATTTTGGAGAGTGTGACATTGTTTATATTATTCTAGAAGTGTGTTAGTGAAGTGTTTTAAAAAAGTTTTTATTCTTGGAATATCCTTAGGGAGTTACCTCTTTACACCAAATGAGATTGCATAGAAACCATTAGGTTTATATCTTGTGTATGCTTGCATGATATTCACCTCTTATTTTGCTTGGACCTTAGTCAAGGATCTCTCGAAGTGGGAGTGTGTACTCTCCAACCTTGGAAAGATAAAAAAGCAAGGTCGAAAATGAACTTAATCTTGGTCAGGTATGTGGCAAAAGGTGAGCCTTATTGATGATAATTGATAGAAAATTTCCCTAATCCCAAAGAAAAAGGCATGAGAGAAAGAAGTAGGGGAATGATGATGAGAAAAAGGCAAGACCAAAAATAAATGGCCATCCCATGAGATAAGAAAAGAGGTGAGCCATATCGCTAGGATTTTGGGCAAATTCATTGCATTGTCTTCGAAAAAGCATAGAGCTCTATGTGAAGTCGAAGTCCCAAATAAAATGTCCTAGGAGATGAGAAGAGAGAGTGGAGGTGAGCCATCTCGCCAGAAATCGGCCACCCATAGCCCGGACGTTCAAAAAAACATGGTGCTCTATGTGAAGTCGGGTCGCTCGGTAACGATTCGGGGAGGATGAGAAGAAAAGAGTGTCTATCTAAGCCAATTGGTGGGGAGCGGTCCATACCAAACCTTCATTTATTAAAGTAAAGGACCTTGGCGTTATAAGGTTGGATGTCGGTTGGGATGTACACATCGTTCCCAATAGGGGGTTCGGCTTGAAGGCCTTTGCTAAATGAGAGGTGAATCCAAATTTGGTTGCATGCTTGACTATATGTAGAGAGTGTGTCCCCTTTACTATTTCATTTTATCCTTTTACAAAATGGTATTCTAGCATAAGGTCAAAGCCTTAAGATTTTAAGATTTCCCAGGTGATAAAGGTAAATCCAAGTTATGAGACTTAGGAAATGGCGGTGAGATGTGAGTTTCATTATTCTAATTAACCTAATTTTCATTATTCTGTTTTGTTGTAATTATTTGTATTTTGAGTAATACTTGCGTGTGAAAGCAAGTAATTCTTCTAGAATATATGTTTCCTTAATGGAATAGTGTGTGAAACTGGAACTTTTAAACAAGTGTGCTGCTTTGAAGATTTCTTGAGTATTTATTATGAACTATGGTTATTGCACCTAGAAGGTGTGCATCTTTTAGGTATGTGGTTACATGCATGGTTGCAAAACTCGGTCGCCTAGGCACCCGAATGCACCCATCCTTGCCATTTTGGCCTATACTCGGCCATAACTCGGCCGCCCTCCTAGGCTGCCAACTCGGCCAAAATCGGCCCACTCGGCCGAGTTGGTCAACTTGGCCAACTCGGCTGAGTCGGCCGATTTTGACCGATTTCATTGTTTAGATAATTCAATTGTTTGTTTGTTTACTACAACCATAATGAAAATGCATGATACGACCTCAAGCACACACATACCTCTTTTCTCTATATTGACAACACGGGGCTACTCCAATTTTTCATCCCGTGCGTTGGAGAAAAATCAAGGATTCATCCCATTTGTTTGACCGCAAAAGTGAAAGATGATGTCAAAATGGCGTCGTTGCCGGGAATGACAAACGGTTTTTGCTAAGTGTTGTTAGTTTGAGAATTGTTTGTGTTTGATTGAGTATTTTCTTTTGTTTTTGCTTTTACTTTTTGTTTGTGTTAACCCTCTTAGCAATCATCTTTGATTGAGAGGAGGAAAAGAGTTGTTGCAAACTTTCTAGGTTGAATGCAAACAAGATCAAAGGGAAACCAAGGACTAGTGCTTTTCGTACCAGACATTGGCAAAACAACTAGAAAGAGATCATCACGAAATCATATTCCATTAGATAATATGGCATCATTAAGTGGCCAAAATCAAAGAACAGAAATTGGAAGGGGAAGCCCTATGCACACACCACAACCAAATTATCAAGGAGGGAATGTCTTTGGAGAAATTCCATTGCCTCAAGAACCACCACCTCAAGGAAACAATGCAAACATAGGTCAAGTCCAACTGGATCCCGATAGCTATTTGTAGATAATATAGGAGCTAGACCCCAAAAGTCTGTGTATATTAAATCAAGAACATTCGAACTAGAAGACACAACCCGTGGCAATGGAAAATGGGCAGACTTACCCAATTGACACGCATTACATAAACTATTACTACAACGAATAATAGTACTAGTCCCACTGTAATTTCGTAAAAATATTAGTCTATAAAATCTAGAATATTAACACTAAAAACACATTATTGGATAAGGTAGTCACATAAGTAATACAAATTACAAGTATTTTAAGTCTAAGTTGTCCACGATCTGCCTGCTCACTGCCTAAAAATTACAAAATAGAAGAGAGTAGGGATTAGGGAAAAATGGAAAATAGACAATAAGAGACTGTCAGATAGTGCGACAATTTGGGCGTTGGGAGTAGTGGGCTACATTAAAATATATGGATATGTCCCCTCGGTTTTTCAGTCGTTTCAAATTTTTTTACCGACCGAAAAACCAAAACAACCGAAAAATGTTTGTAGGCCGTAACCGATAACCGACCGAAAAGCCAAATTTTCGGTCGTTTCTAATATCAGTCTTCGGTTTTTCTCACGGTCTTCAATTTTTAGCTTAATATTTGGTTCAATTTTGGCAAATTCATGCTTAAACGAGATATAATTTGGGGCATCAGTTGTTGGGCACAAGATATTAAATAATTTTCATTGATATAGACAGTTATATCATCCATCACTAGAATAATATGCGTACACTTAAAAAATTTAACACCATAATCCCACAGTTTGGTAAAATAACACAAACCTAATGGGCAGTACTGTCTTTAAGTATGCAGCAATTCGAATAATAGATAGCACTAATATAATATAGTGAACAGATTTAAGATGTAATTAAAATAATGTCATGAATAAAACTAATAGCCATTGCACCTATCAATTTATTAGTATAGATTAAATGCCAACAGCCGAACTTGATCACCATTAGCCATTGCACTTATCAATTCAGTAGTAGTGACATAGTTTGTAATAATTTCCTGACAAGTCGAGTGAAAATACAAGTATAATAGCACAATTGATAGAAAAATACCAGCTCATATAAGGTAAGTTTAACCGCTCGCCGGAGAATTGCCATTTTCGATATGCCAGTGCATTATGCCGCAAGAAAAATACCCTGAGCTCAATCATTACTGGCTTAACTAAACCCTAAACCTCAAAAAAGGACAATTATGTAAGCCAATATACACAAAAGAGCTTTGTGAAAAAGACATAGTAGTAACTATAGATAAGTACTTGCGTACAGGAATCCAGCATTCTAATGTTCAGTGGCAGCAAGAAAAAATGGAAAACCTAAAACAAGTTGAGGGCATGAAACAATATGTTTTGTGACAGTGAACAAGTGTTTTGGGGCAAGGGATGGAATATGTTGTGGTTTCACTTTGGGGCATCAAACTGAAAAAAGAACAAATGTAATTATGTAAATGCATTGAAAAGACATAGTAGTTGAACAGCACAGCATAAGTGCAATTCAGATTTCAAGTGGCAGAAATTGATAACAAAATCACAATAAATAACGAACCATAGGCAGATGAGTTTGGTTGTCCCTGCCATTTTCCATCTAGCAGTGTACTATGCAAAAGGTCCTTTTAATCAGACTCCATATAAATTAGGCAATTAAAACATAGTAAAGCAAGAAGTGGAAAAAAATAATATACAGAGAATAGAATAACATTGAGGTAGTAAGGCAAGTAGTAGTTAATTGATGTAGGTAACAGAGCACACTATATGTCCTAGTAAGGCACTTGGTGAAATCAAAATTAATTGATGTAGGAATTATCTCAATATAAAACTAGCTTATATTATCCAAATATAAAACAAGCAGGAATTATCCAAAACGACGATTATCAACTTAGAAACAAAATCACTCCACAACTGAATGAGAAAAACACAAACAGTGTATAACAATAGCAGCTCTAATGCATGCAGTCCTTTTGATCGTCCATCATGCACTTGGTTTGTGTCTTGTTGAGAAGTCTACCCGCAATATAGAGATTTTTAACCAGAGACAGAGAACACCATCGATGCAAGGTGCTTTAAAATGTTACCTTCCCAAGTTGCAAAATGGACAAGCGTTATCATAAATTTATCATAAATTAAATTTAATTCATAAATAGGATCCGTCCGTTTCCCCAATTCCACATTCCGCAATAGAATACGTAGGGACAGGGCGTGAAATTTTGCTATGTAGTTAAAAGGAAATGGAAATGAAAGGAATATATAAGTAATAATGGGGTAAAAAAAAATAATGGTATTAAAAAAACTGAACACACCTGCCTGAGCAGGATTAAAAAATACAAATGACAATGAACAAATTTTGATTTAAATAGCGTTAAAGAAGTCACACAAACATTATATAACTTCACACCTAAGTCCAGTAAATACCAGTCTAAGAATTTGATTGCCGATATATTTTGGGTTTTTCGCTTAGAGAAAAGAAGCACTCATCAGGCAATTGACAGATAGATCAGAGCAACGCAAAGGAATATTGCAATCACACCTAAGCACAACAAGCAAGTGCAAGGCAACAAATTAGTTCAAAATTTAAAAGAAGTAACCATGAAAGAAAATGATACAGAAATAATTCAGTCTATAAATTTAAACAAGCAGTCCGCAGTAAAAATTTAAAAGAACTATGAAAAATTGTAGTGCTATATTACGAGACTGCAAAATGGAAAAGATGATATATTCAGTTTCAATTAGGCAGAAGAATGGAATGTCACGAGTATGCAACAAAAGAGTACAATAAAAAACAAACAAACAAAAGCACTTTCAATCAGCAGATTATAAATGGTAAAAAACAAAAAGCACTTTCAATCATAAGAGTATAAATCGTCAGTGGTTAAATTAGCCATGACAGAAATAACATACTCCAATTACAGTTGGAGAATAACAGTGGTATCTCATTTGATAAAAAAGCAACATCTACTGGACAGGGGGTTTGAGTGCAAAAAAAGCTGGCCAAGAAAAGGATACAGCATGTACTTTGCATTCCACGATCATGGGAACCGGTGTTCACAGGTGCCACTTCCAGTCTAGATTAAGTAAAATATTTGGTAATAGGTAGAAAAATAATGACCATACTGATAATGTAATGTTACCAGCTCATTAAACTGATCATACGTTAAACGATTGTGAGCAAAAATAAAGAAACCAACACCATTCTGTTCAACAGTATGCTAGCAATTCCTTGTGTTTGGTCGTTTCCGCACACAAAAGTCCATCCTTGGGTTAGGTCCCTTCAGCAGACTCCGTATAAATCAGATTCCCTAACCTCATATTGTCTACAACTAAGAATAATGGGAAAAACTCAGATTGCAATCTACTTGATGAGAAACACACAAACAAGACCAGTCCAGTTGTATATTACAAGACTGCAGAATTGTAATGATATTCCAGTTAAATAAAAAAGAAGTAACCATGAAAAGAAAGACAGTTGTTAAATACCAGTCCTTTTGATCGTCCCGCAACCATGATGCACTTGTCTTGTTGAGAAGTCTACCCGCAATGTACTTTAAAATGTTACCTTGGGATAATCAGCATCGTATAGCACAGCAGCAGACGCAGCAGCTAGGTCAGCTCACTGCATACGAGCTCTTATATAAGTAATATTACGAGACTGCAGATTGAGATGATCCCAATTCCTCAGTTTAGCCCTAATTCAATTTCAATTGTAATTAATTGATGTAAAAATAAGAAATCTGAAATGGGGGATATATATATTAACGACGGAGGGAGGGACAGACAGAGGGCAATGAGATAATAACGAACCAGTGGCCCCGGAGAGACGGACAGATAGATCGGGGTGAGAGCGGCGGAGACGGAGACACGGCGGTGGTGAGAGCCTTAGAGAGAGATGGGCGAGGCGGGAAGATAGGTAAGGAAAATCTGAGGTGAGGTTAGATTATTAAACTTAAGGATAAAATAACCAAAATATCCCCGGTTGAGCTGAGCTTGAGCTGACAGTATGTAAGTAAGTGTTGAATAATTATAAATTAGTTGTTTTGTGTAGAAAGTTTGACTGGTCATAACTTTTGACTCGGTCGTCCGTTTGGAACAAATTTTTTTTTGAAATCGCGTATTTTTTCGAGATCTACGCGGCGCAAACTGCCGCAGGCGGTTTGGCCGTCGAATTTCTCAAAAAAACGCTTCTTTTGGTCTTAATTTTAGTTTTTTATGTATTTAGATGTTTTGAACAATATTTTGAACAATTTTACAACTACTTGCGTAAAAAAATTGTAAGAAAAAACTATGGGAACATTATGTTTTATCAGTGAATTTCATTATTACGCAATCAATTGAAAGAAACTAAATTAGTGATTAAACATGTGATAACTTTTCTAAATAGTACATATTGTAGTGTTCATGTTGTAATAGCTCTAATTTCTTCATGATCTTTGTGGAGAGGGGATGGAAGTTGAGGTTGTGTGGTGGGTAATTCATCCATCATCATATCAATTATCAAAATAAGAGGTTTAATTTTGTTATAAGTTATATATATTTAAAGTTGAAAGTTCTCTTATATAATGCATAAAGTCTAAAGTTCATCCATGTTATTATCTAAAGTTTTAAGATAGAAGTTAGCTATATATTATGTTGATGAATGTTATTATCTCAAGCGTGAAGATAGCTATATATTATGCTTATCAATCAATGTTATTATCTCAATCAAGCGTGAAGATAGCTATATATTATGTTGATGAATGTTATTATCTAAATTATGAAGATAGCTATATATTATTTTTATCAATGTTATTATCTAAAGTGTGAAGATAATAGCTATATCTTATGTTTGTCCATGTTATTATCTAAATTACGTGAATTAATATCTATACAATGTTATTATATAATTTTAATTATTATAATATAAAGTAAGCTATACAATCATAAAATCAAAAGTTTGAAGTTTACATACCTAAATTTATATAATTATACATTCATTAATTATTGACATTTTGTGAGAAATTAACTTATCAGTTAATATATATATTTAAAACATCATTGTGTTAACATATTCTCTTCTGTTTAGGTGGATGGTGACTTAATTTTGTTTTGGTAGGGTGTGAGTTCAATTCCCACAGCGTGCAGTATATATCTTCAAGCCATTGCCCTCTTTTTATCTTCTATTACTTTCCTCTTCTTTTTTTTTTTTTTCCGCTTTTATTCTCATATCGCTTAGCGCTACTTAGGGGAGTATACTACAGGCTGTGGCTGTTGGGACGAGGATGGGGCGAGGTGGCTGTGGCGTCAAGGATGCGGCCGGGCTCGCGAAGCTGTGGCTGTGGAGGATGCGGTTAGGCGAGGCGACGCTGTGGCTGTGGCGGCGAGTATGCGGAGACGCGAGGCGTAGCTGTGGCTGTGGCGACAACACTTGGGGTGTGTATACACATTAAGCTTGGTGCCCTTGTATCTTATATGCTTCCTTTGCCTCCTTCATATGCTGCGATTAATTGCGGCGAGGCTGGGCTGTGGCGGCGACGGCGAGGCTAGGTATTCGAGGGCGGGGCGAGGGCTGTGCCGAGGCGCTGGAGGCTAGCTAGGCTCTGGCGACAACACTACCCTTCCTCCCTTCCTTCCAACGTCTACACTTCCTGCCCGACTGGGGCTGCCCTGTTTCCTCCTCCTCACCGTGTAAGGTATTTCTCTTATATGCCTTTTCCTCATTCATTTGGATTTTTTATTTTGCACTTATATCTACTGGACTGGAGTTGTTCTGCTCACTTTTCGCCGAGGGTAGCCGGCTTGTGCCCCACTTTATTTATTTGTTTGTGGTTACCGAAACCCATTTCCCATTCCTTGTTATTTTTTGTTCTACTGAACTGGACACTGCCGAACTTCCCGGGGGATTTGTAATCGGGAGAAATGGTAACCGCCGGCGGCGAATAATGATTTTAATTTGTGAACATAACCGGCCGACGGCGACATATTAGCCGTTCGCCGGCGAAACAATAGCCGGCCGCCGGAGACAAAATAGAACGCCGTCGGCGAATACTATTGCTGGCCGGCGATATAAAAGACCGTCGCCGGTGAAACAAGTGCCACCCGCCGGCGACAAATTAGCCGGTAACCGGCAACAGACTAGGCGGCCGCCGGCGATACTATCGCCGTCCGGCGATATAATAGACCGTCGCCGGTGAAACAAGTGCCGCCGGCGATACTATTGCCGGCCGCCGGAGACAAAATAGACCGTCGCCGGTAACACATTTATTATTTTAATTGAAATTTGTGATGTATGGGAACTCACAAGTATTTATTATCTTAATTGATATTTGTGATGCATTGGAAATCAAAAGTATTTATTAATCTGAATTGAAACTAGTGATGCATGGGAACTCACAAGTATTTATTATCTTAATTGATATTTGTGAAGCATGGGAACTCACAAGTATATATTTTTCCTTAATGAAAATTGTGATATGCATGGGACCTCACAAGTATTTATTATCTTAATTAAAATTTGTGATGCATGTGAATTCACAAGTATATATTTATTTGTGAACTTTGATTTCTGACGCATGTGAAGAAATACATGATATCTCATTTGATTTACAATCTTACTATTTATTGCACAAGGATATATTGAGGCTAAAAAGCTGGTCCAACCACACAGTATAGATAAGTAATTAAATTGCCATGTAACAAATTAAATTCTCATTGGTAGAGTTGGCAGAGACTTGAATAGTGCGTGCGGCTTAATGGCCGTGTTTGATTCTCAGCTTTATCGTCTAACTGTCTAATTTTGGACTTTTATTTATTTTTCTTTTTTTGAGGTGAATGTGAATCCTTATGCCTAGTATAACCATAGACAAGTGCCCAATATAAGTCCTCCCATTTATGCAAAACCCATCCCAGTTGAGCCCAACATAACCGGCCCAATTAGTACACCCAAATAATTCGTAAACAAATAATCCTCCGAACCTAATAAACTGAAATCAGACACGTGAACCAAACCATGTCAAGCCTAATATGGGGGCCCAGTCTATGATGCTGATGCACAACTTTTGAATTCTGAAAAATGATTTGACCATGGGTGGGAATCGAACATATCAATTCCCAAGGCACAGCACCTGACCCAGGACGGCGAGAACCTCTCCGGCGACGGACGACCACCGAACCTCTCCGGCGACGGACGACCACCGATCCTCGCCGGCGACGGACGACCACCGATCCTCGCCGGCGACGGACGACCACCGATCCTCGCCGGCGACGGACGACCACCGATCCTCGCCGAGAACCTCTCCGGCGACGGACGACGACCAACGACGCGACGGCGACGGCGACCAGACGGGACACCTAACCAATGATATTAATTATCTTAATTTGTGATGGTTGTGAACTCACCAGTATTTATTATTGTAATTGTAATTTGTGATGTATGGGAAATCACAAATATTTATTATCTTAATTGAAATTTGTGATGCATGGGAACTCACAACACAAGTATTAATTATCTTAATTGAAATTTGTAATGCATGGAAATTTGTGATGCATGGGAACAAACACAAGATTTATAATCTGAATTTATACTAATTACCCAACATGAGAACGTACACTATTTACCCAAATTTATAATCTTAATTTCAATTTTTGAGATGCATGAGGATGGGAACAAACAATTATTAATTACAGAAGGTAAATCACACAATTTGGAAGTATATATTTATTAATTGGAAACACAAGTATTGTGGGTCCTGGCAAATGTTTTAAATTTTGATCTCCGTTAGGCCGTTTACAAATATTCCGTTGAAATAAAATTTATGACCGCAAACATTACAAAAGTGAATTTGGGGGAGATGGATGGGCTTATGAAGTTTTCACACGTGACCTGGGTTCGACTCCCTCCATGCACTGCAGTTTTAACCCCATGCATGAAGGCCAACACTTGGTCGATGTGGGCCCCTCTTACCCTCGCAATCTGAGCCCACGTCAATTCCAGCTGGGTTGAACAAAGTGACTCACGAAACTTCATAAATACTTCCAGCTGGGTAGACACGGTTTGTCCCGTAAATCACACGGTCATTTCGGGTGGTTCCGTGCATTTTTTTTCAAATGTTATTGCATGGTCCTTTAGTTTAGAGCATTTTAACAATGCTTGGTAAATTTCAAAGCGTTTGGATGATTATTTCATTGAAAACGACGATGTCCAAATTTATGCCCAGCTGTCCGCAAAGTTCCTTGTCTGACTTAGCCAAGTACTTGGGATTGTTGGGAATGTGAGAGGAATATATGGCATATCGTTTGCCTCACTAATTAAATAGTACAATAAGCTCTAAAACAAATGTATATGCCATTTTGGCACGAGAACGACGTAAAACGACATAGGCCAAGGCATAACACAGAACCGTCGTAAAAGTACTGGGGTGGCAGGCGGGTAAACCTCTGTTGCGTGATATTTTCCGCATCCGTCCGCAACTGTGCGCAATTTGGGCGCCCTCGTTCCGCATAAGTCCGCAACCTCGGCACCCTCGTTCCGCATAAGTCCGCAACCTCGGCACCCCCGTTCCGCATAAGTCCGCAACTTGGGCACCCTCGTACCGCAACTTTCCGCAACCTCGGCACCCTCGTACCGCAACTTTCCGCAACCTCGGCACCCTCGTACCGCAACTTTCCGCAACCTCAGCACACCCGTACCGCAACTTTCCGCAACCTCGGCACACCCGTTCCGCATAAGTCCGCAACCTCGGCACCCCCGTACCGCAATTTCCGCAACTTGGGCACTCTCGTACCGCATAAGTCCGCAACTTGGGCACCCTCGTACCGCAACTTTCCGCAACCTCGGCACCCCCGTACCGCAATTTTCCGCAACCTCGGCCCACCCGTACCGCAACTTTCCGCAACCTCGGCCCACCCGTACCGCAACTTTCCGCAACCTCG